TGCCTGTACTGAGGGAGCATCACCTGTGTCAGAGGGTACCTGCTGGAACAATGCAGCCACAGCTAAGAACCTGAGCATTAAAGGTACTTTGGAATCAGACATTCCTATAACTAGATGGAGCATAACAGTCGCAGCCAGTGCTGGAGTTTGTAGATGCAGTGATACGTGTCCTGACCTACCTCCCTTGTGGGTAGGGTACAATTTTGAAATAAGCCTGCAAAAGCTGCGCTTTTCATCATATAGAACGTTAAGCCCTATACAATAACCTGACCTCCTTCTCAATTTTGTAAAAATGTGCTCATCCCTTCCCTTTTGAATGTTTCCACTTTAGCCTTTTGATATTTACTCTCAACCTAACTATCAGAGATTCTCCTGCACTTGAGGGACTGTGAGAAGATTTCAGCACAGTCTGCCTCTTCCTATCCTGCTGGTGGTCAATGATGTCATATTCCCCTCCTGATTCTGGCTGCACTGTTATTATCTCAGGGAAGATACATTCTAGGAAATTCTCAGCCTCCCACATTCACTGTCAACTCCAGCAAATCCTTATGGTTATCCTTAGATTTCCCCTTAGATTTTAATTCACAACGGGCCCTGAAATTCCAATCTGGTTTGGAAATGTTATTCCCAAACCTGGTCAGATGACACAATCCCCATTGTCTTTACACGTTTTCTATGCGGGAGATTCATGAGAGGGAGCTTTCATTGTGAAAATGTCCAGGTATCTAGCAACAATGAAGAAGCCACATCCCTGGTACAGTGAAAAGCAGAGATGATATTTCAGGTCCTTCTCCAGAACTTCAGAGCTTGAAACGTTAATTTTGCTTTGTATCCACAGATACTGGGCTTTTTTCAGCAATTTCTGATTTTTGTTTCTGATTTTCAGCTCCCGTAGTCCTTTGTTTTTTGCCTTCCCCTGATGCAGCAATCATTTTATCGTGTGTTCAGGGAGTTAAATGTCCAGCAGTACGGTCAGTCACTTTAGCAGCTGCTGTGAAAGTTTACATGTGAGGTTGAGGTAGTTTTTTGTGCATGTTTATGGTCCGAGGTGGGTAGGATACCAGGCTGTGCATACTGGTAAGCCATGCGAGTGAAAGAGTGTTTCATGTATGTTGGGATATGGGTGAGTTCTCAGTTCAGTTGAGGCAGACCAGATACTAGCAGACTATTGGGTGTGGAGCAGCTTGATATTGGGATGTTAGGACCTGTTGGAGGGACAGGGTTAGTGGGTTGGGTCCAGCTGGGGCTGAGAGCTGTTGGCTCTGTAAGTATTGGATACAGTAAGGTAAGATGGTGCAGAGTGTCAGTTCAGGGTGACGTTGGGTTGCATGGGAGTTAGTGATGTTGGGTCCAGCTCTTTTGGATGCTCTTTTGGTCCAGATAGGCCAGAGCAGCATGTTAGCATAGGGTGTCATGTAGTGGGAATTGGTATTTCCATCAAGCAAGGGTAGGTCAGGCCAGTTAATTGAATTGAGTCAATGGAAAAAGATATTGATTGACAGCGGATTGTCTGGTAAGGTAGGGGGAGATTTTCGTGGAACATGTCAGGGCTTGGGAGCTCTGTAGTTATGTGCGTCAGTTGTGAGTTGGTGAATCTCTTTGATATTATTCAGGAATTAGAGTATGTTTTTAATCCTCTAACCTTCCCTGGGTAACTATTACACTGAACTGAGCTATAAGCCTCTGAAATTTCTGAATCTAAAGGGTATTTTTCAAAGGGTTTGAGACCCGGGGGACTTTCCTATCCAACATTTTTGATTTTCTTGGTAATTCCCACAAGGGTTACTGTGCCAGGGATTCGTGCTGACTTGATGTAAAACTACAGACAGAGCTGCTCCAACAACTCTCTGGCCATTGGAATATCTGGACCATTGTCCTCTGAATTGAATTCGCACCCTCACCAAATTTCAGTGCCACACCATAGATCCACTCAACTCCAAAGGTACATTTTATAAAATGCTAGAGACATGTCAGTTAAGGGCACATTTTCTACAGTGTATTAAAACTATGAATTCAAGTACATTATTTATCATACTATTCACACTTCAATTACTTAAAGTGTGTTTAAAAGTAAACAAAATCCATGAATGCTAGCTAATGATGAAATTCATCAATAAATGAAATCAAGTGATTACATCAGACAATAAGACACAGAAGCAGAAATAGGCCATTCAGCCCAATGAGTCTGCTCCCTCATTCCATGAGATCATGGCTGATCTGATAATCCTCATCTCTACTTAACCCCCCTTTTCCCCATAACCTTTGATTCCCTTCCTGATTAAAAATGTATCTCAGCCTCGAATATACCTAATAAACAACTCTAATGTGCTCTGTGGTAAAGAATCTCACAAATTGACTGCATTCTGAGAGATGAAATTCCCCCTCATGTCTGTCTAAAATGGCAACCCTTTATTCTGAGATAATGCCCTCTGCTCCTAGATTCTACCAAAGGGACACCAACCTTTCTGCACCTAACCTGTCAAGTCCCTTAAGAATCTTGTATAATTCAATAAGGTCACCTCTCATTCTTCCAAATTCCAATGATCACAAACCCAAGCTACTCGACCTCTCCTCATAAGACAGTCCTTTGATACCCGGGATCAGGGAACCTTCTCTGGAATGTCTCTAATGTTAATAAATGTTACCTTAATTAAGGGATCTAAAACTGGTCACAATATGTCAACTGTGGCTTGACCAGATTATTGTCTAGTCTCAGCAAGACCTCTCTACTTGATACTCCATTCCCATTGAAATAAAGGTCAACTTTGCAATTGCCTTCTCTGTTATGTGCTCAACCTGCATGCCAGCTTCTTGAAATCTATGCACGAGGACATTGAAATCCCTCTGTTCTGTAGCTTTTTCCAAACTTCCTCCATTTAAATAACATTCCGCTCCTCAATTCTCCCTGTCAAAGTCCATAGCCCTACATTTTCCCGCTGTATGAATCATCTGCCAATTTTTTTGTCACTCACTTAAACTATTGATATCCCCCTGCAGACTCTTTGTGTCATCCTCATGACTTGCCCTCCCACCTATGCATGCATCATTCACAAACTTGGCTATAGTCCGTTCACTTTTCTGATCCATGTCGATGATATCTGTTGTAAATAATTGTGACCTCAGGATTGATCCCAGTGGCAATCCACAAGTTACAGATTGCTATGCAGAAAATGCCTTCCCTATCGCAACTCACAGTCTTCTGTTAGTTAGCCAATCCTCTACACATCCTAATATTGTGACCTCCAACACCATGGGCTCTTCTCCTATTAAGTTGCCTAATGTGAACACAATTACTGATATGTTCAATGTATGTTCAAGAAAATGCTCAAGAGTTTATTTTCTTCTTGGTTGCAATTTACATGTGCTTCTTGCTCAGGG